CTCCACCATTCTATGCGAATACCTACAAAATAGTTTGTCGAAGCCTTCCGACCCTCAAGTCGAACTGGAAAAAGAATGATAATATAAAATGAGAAATAAAAAATATGAATGGAGTAGTAGGAATTTTTCCTTGCACCCCCATGCCACCCCAATCCCACACATGAATATATACGTATGGTATGGTTGAAGATAATATTTAGAAGAAAGTTGAAAGTTAATTCTTAATGTTCACGTTCATTCATATACATATAATTATTTGTCTGTGTAGAACATGTCGATTAGGGTCCCAGTTAAGCCCCTGTTTGGTGGAGAGTAAATTAATAGATTTTGATAAAAATTGATGAAATGTGTGGTTGGAAAGTTGTGAATTCCATGAAATGCGTAGTCAAAATTAATTACTGATTATAACTTGAAATTTTAATACAAATCAAACATGCTAAATATTGAATATCAAAGGGAAAATAGTCATATGTGGAGGGTAGTCGATGTAAATAGATTTTTGATACTGACATCGATCATTTCATTATTGGAATCTAGTTTTTGGAACCCAACATGGACACGTTAACAATAAATTCTACAATCTTTTCAATTTCAAACAAAAGGAATGGAGAACCAAAATGTCTTGTGTTGATTTGCATTCGGAAGATGATGAAATAGGAATAGTCTATTCCAAAAATGTGGGCCAAAATAGGGCTATTTGAATCCGTTTGAAGACAACATGAGTCTATTTCATATATATTGGTCCCATCCTATCAATAAAGTGATAATATAATTTTTTTCTTTTTCTTTTTCTTTTTCTTTTTTTTTTGGTAGGAGAAAATTGAATTTATTTTTATGCTCTAAAGGAAGGGAGAAAATTAGGGTTTCATTTCATGGAAATTATGCTTTGTTTATATTTTAAATTATCACTCATATAAATGATTTTTCATTAATAACTATAAGATAATATTGACATTAACATTAATCAAAATTAAATTCATTCAAAATTTGAAATAAATATTTGGTACTTATTATCCTTTCCTTTAATTATCATATTTTATTTTATTTACTATTGCGTATCAAATTTCTCTAATTATCGCATTTACCTTATTAGACTGACCAATACTGATCGGCATTTCCCACATTTTTCATTAAATTATAATTCATTTTTTTCTCTTTTTTTATCGATTGCACATTCTTCAGTAAAATAATATTATACATAAATTCAAAAAAAAATATTTTTTTAACCGCATATTTTTCAAAAAAAAAAAAATTTCCATTATAACGTGGAATAATTGGGGTGAATCTTGAGTTTGTTACTTCTCCCTCAACAGTCTTTACCCATTTAGTTAAAACAAAAAATTCAGTCAAAACGTACGAATAAGCAATTATATATAACGAATTCAAAACGGTCCAAACAGCACATTGTCCCATGCCACAGTTTTTGCAGAACCAATGCCTTATTCCAATAATAGAATTAAAAACATCTTTTTTAACACTGTCAATTTATACAATTAATGTCCACAAATTCGTGTAATTTCACTAATCTGCGCACAAACCCCAAGTAAATATATAGCAATAATCCACACAAATTCAATGCGTGTGTTCGTATCATATCAAATCTTTCGTACCATTTAATTAATTAGCTATACTTTTTAGGCATGCACGCATTGGTGTGATCGATTAAGGTACTCGATCGATTGTATAATACTTGAATGGTATATAATTAGTTTAATGGTAAGTATCGAACATGTGTGATTCTGACAAAGTTAACTCATATTTCTTCCTTAACTTTCTTAAATTAGCGATCGAGAAGTAAAAAGTTTAAAAGAGGGTAAAATTTGATCACGAGGAGGAGTTTGTTGATGAAAATTGTAGCAATAAATTTACGGCGGAATGTAAGAAGGAATGCTTAGGACATTGGTTTGTGGTGAAAACGAACTTCATTGAATTGTTAGATTTTTCTGATACAATTCAGAATTCTTTGGACTACGTTTGCAAGTGGCTTCAAACATTCTCGTACAAATTGGATGCTAATGCTGTAAACAGAAGAAAAACAAAACTGTCATTTTTGTACTGCATTGCTACAGGGATCCCATGCAAAATATATTCTGATAAGAGTATTAAAAATAAAATTTTAGGGTACGATCTCTTTATCATTTTCAAGTCGTTTTCTGTTTTTGATTTTTCAAAGCAGTGAAAATGAGTTCTCTTTCCTATTTTCGAAAACTCGTTTTTTAAAACAAGTTAAAAATTTACAAAGAAAACCCAAAAAGACAAATTTGTCGTTTTTAGTGTTTTCAGTTATAATCAAGTCAAAATTTTCAAAACGCGTTTTGGGTGTTTTCAAAACAATTTTTTAAAATGCAAAAACGAACACATTTTCAACAATCTCAAAATGAAATGAACACTCAAAACACAAAACGAATACACAAAGAGAACAGCCCCTTAGCTTCTCTATATTCTGATTATTATCGAGTATTATTTAATTCTCCTTGAGAAACGTGACAATAGTATTTTTGGGTCTAATAACTAACTTTCTTTAGATTCACATATGAGTTATATAAAGTGAAAATTGACTAGAAATTGATTTCACGTGACAAACTATAATCTAGGTTAGGACCTAGTGCGATCAAGTGTAAGTATCGTTTATTTTTTTTAAAAAAAGGTTGAACCCCAGAGAGCTCCCTACCGCCTCTCCCCTAGAGCATTGTGGAGGAGGTAAATCGCGAGATGTGCCTCAACAGGTCAGGGTACAATAGTTGTCATACTGATGCTCACAAAGAGTCCAATTACATACCTTATAAGAGTCGGGAATTGAACCCTTACACTGCGTTCCTAAAGTATCGTTTATTAATAGAGCATACATGGATATTATGATACGAGCTAGATGTGAGCTAGAAGTAAAATTAGTAATATTACTTAGAAATTGTTAGCCTATTAAGATAAAGTTTTATTAAATTAACAAGAAAAAATGACACTAATTTCTAAGTGAATAGAATATATTATAAATATCATGAAACAATGCAAAACTACTTTTGGACAAGTGACATAATGGCTCTAAAAGTGATTAGCAATGTGGAATTGGTATCATCAAACATATCTAAACAATATTGTTGACCTAAATAAGGTAGTGCATGTCACGTTGCAAGACTAATTGGTATACATTATTATACTATGTGAGATTTTCTATGATTTGGACCATAATCTTGACTCAATATGTCTAACTTTTGAGGGTTCATTAATATAATATACAACTTAGATAAGATCGAAATTTATAAAACGAGAGAGACGTATGACAAAATTTATCAATTATTTCATTACGAGAGTCGAATAAAAAGAATTAATCATCTTTATCAACCAATAATATTGCTATCATAAAATTGTCCCTATAAATCCCCACCGTTGATTACTTCTCCCACAAAGTCCACCGCCCAAAATTGATAGCGACGGGCACGACTCATGGTGGACACACTGGTCATTAACATTTTTTGCTGGTGATATTTTCATTTTTTATTTTGGAATTAATATTTTTGTATTTCATATATACTAGCATTGTTTGCCTTGAATATATTATTCACGCTCTGCCAAGTTGTAAGACTATATAAAGGCTCAAATCCAATATCGAAAGATTTAGAAAGTTGGTGATCTTATATTAGGGAAGTCAGTAACGAAAGCCCTGGTGACCAAATTCCTAGTCAGGTAAGTTTTGACCTTGTCACGAGGGGGTCATGTCCGTCAAGTGCCAAAATGTATAAAAAAGTTGGTGACCTATTATCTGGGGAGTCGGTAACGAAAGCCCTAGTAGCCAAATTCCTATGGAGTTCGACCTACATAAACAACACAACGATCTAGATAATGGATAGTGTCTAAGAATGAGGCTCGACGAAATAAATTTGAAGTTGTGAAATAATAAAAAAATTGCAATATTATAACCATATAAAAGTTGGCCAACAAAAATAAAAAAAGGAAAAAATGAGTGCATAGGGATAGAGACCCATTCTTAGGATATTGGCTATAGACACAGGAAGATCCACAAAAGATAACAAGGTCAAAAAGAGTAGACACACTGTACAATATGAGAAATGGACCACCAAAAAACAAAAACTTTGACCCCACAGTAAAAGCCATAGAACCCATAGTCCCCAATCCCAATACACATTGCAACGTGAATTGACTGAATTGCCCACCTGTGAGTTCCTGACACGTGGCAGATTATTGAATCTTTGAATGGTCAAAGACCCAAAGGTGGCCTTATTTGGTTTGGCTTTGGCATGAATTTCTTTAGGGAATTCAGATTTTCATCAAAACAAGAAAAAAAAGTGCTTATTTAAGTAATATTTGCAAATTATAAAATAGGGTACAGTAAAAAGAGAGAGCAAGAAACACAAGCCCAACTTTTCTTGCTTTCTCTCCTTTTCATGTGCTTACAACTCTTCCTCTGCCCCAAGGCATCCTCTCTTTCAAAACAACCGAAAAGAAAAGCAAAGTACTACTTACATATATGGGAGTGCGTCGGGGGGTAGGGTAGAGTGGGGTGGGGTATTTAAGATATTGGTCCACTTTCACATAAACATGTTAAGAAATTTCACAGAAAAGATTCCGTAATTTCATAATCTATATACAACCCTCTTGTTCCTATAATCTGTACAATTTTCATTATCCCCTCTCCCATATTTTGAATCTTCTCTCGGGGAAAAACATGTTCTTTATCTATGTCTATCTTTCAAATCTTAACATTCCTCGGATACACCAAAAATTACTAATAAAATGAAAAAGAAACCATAAAACCAATATTCCCCCCTCCCACATTGGATGTACACGACTTGCTTCCAACAATGGCTGATCTACAAAATTCAGCCATGACCATATTGCAGTTCCCATCACTGCCCATCAATCTCAACAAACGCCATCCACAGCAATGATTATCTCGAGCGAAAAAATGACATTCCCTATGTCACTTTATGCTGCTCGATCCAATACCATTCAATATAGAGAAAAAAGTGGCTCTCTCATTGGTGTCATCTATCCTCTACGAAGATTCTCCCTACGAAATCCTGGAATCTCTTAGAATATAGTTTTGGGTCAACAGCTGAAATTGAGGCAGGGTCTACCTGCCAGGATTTGTATGCGTGTTCTAGCTTCTTGCTGATATCGTAGTCTTGTAAAATATCGATGATCCCAAAGTAGAGGATGACTTCATAAACTTCACCGCTCCTAGGAGGTGCCAAATTGCTAAATTCACCAGGAGTGTACTGATCGAAATCGCTCCTTCGAACCACTCGCTCTGCTCGGGCGGGCATGTTGGCGCCTAGCCTGATCAAGGGTTTCCTGATGAACAAATTTAAATGCAAACTCAGGACTTAACCACAAAATACTGAAGAACATAATCTTAACAAAAGACAGTAGGAATTTAATGAGAGAAATTCCAACGAATAACCAATTCATTTTGATAACATAAAGAACATAAGAAACACCTACCTGCCCGCTCGAATCCTATCCATGTCTTGTAGCTCTGCTTCAAGGAAACGACAACCTCGCATGAACTTTTCATTTTGAAATGAATCGGTCTTTCCTGAGAAGCAATGAGATTCATTTTAGCATTCTTACTTTCGCACAAAATAATCTACCAAATTAGGAATTATAATAACACAATAATGTACCTGCGCGCAACATAAATGGTGACAAACCCATTTTGTCACCTCTATTTTCATCGCGGAAATGAAGACCAACCAAAAGGCTGTAATCCATGATTCTCTCTGTCTCCAAGAACTCACAGTCTCGATGTATTTGTCTGCCAAGATAATTTGACAAAATCAGTGAGCATTCCAATAAATAGATCAAGTTATAGACGTAACAGGGTACTCACTTGATTAGTTCTTGATACCAATTGCTTTGTAAGCGAAACACAAAATTAAGGTCGAGGTCCTTAAGAGTAGTAGTTTCATCAATTTCTCCCTCTGGCTTATCCGTTGTGCGGCCATGCGATGATCCTTTCAAATCAAACCTTCTATGGATCCGATAATCCGAGCAAAACATATTTCCCATCACAATAAACCGTGTCTAATATACAATAATGTAACAAGAGTCAGTTACATGCATGAAATTTTTAATCTAAATTTAGAATTGAATGATCAACATCAACTGCATACCTTGACGCCGCCCACTGGTTTGACACAATGGACACCATAGAACTTTGTGACAAGAGAATTTTCATATCGAGAGACGTGTTGGTAATATCTAGGAAGCATCTTAATAAGCACCTGAAAAACATTATGAAACATCGATTAGCACAAGTAATTGACCGGGGTTTGATTAAACGATGACCTATATTGAATAAGAAAGTTCAATTCCAAGGTGCTAAATAAACATTTTGATTGCTGTCAAATATGCTATAGTCATAATTCTGCATCAATTCTTTTTTTAAGCTTCAACAAGTCAAAGAAGTAGGCAACTAACCTTGACTTCCGATTTCTTCGCCGTTTTGATCATAAACCTATCATCCTGTGTCAAATAAAAGAAACTTCCACTTTTCCCAGGAGATGAAAGCTCCCTCAGAGCATCATTTCCACAAATGGCTAACATATAATCCGCAGGATCGACTTGAAAAAGTTTCCTTAAATGTCTGATAACACAACAAACCAATCAACATTTTAAAATCTAATTGGCTGGCAATCGAAATTTAAATGCTACTATAACGATCTAACAGAACATTTCCAAGGATTCATACTATGGCCTAATCAATGATGAACAATTACCTAAACACTAGTGGACAATAATCCTTCCACCGGAAGTCCGCAGATTGATGAGGCGGCGTAAGCTTTGATCCTTCCGGAGGAAACCGAGTCCAGAACTTCTTCATAGGATCAAAATCACTCTGCTTAAGATCTCGTACTATAGAAGCATGCTTTCCAGCAGAATACCTAACAACATAATCACAAATACAATATATACTCATTTTGGCATCACCCAATGCTTAAATAAAATGCTATGGATGAACAGCTAAATACAATCCATCTTAATCAACTTTGGATTCATTTTTACCTAATTCCAAGTTGGAGATTGAGCATCAGATCATAATTCTTGTGCCCTTTGGATATAGTCTCTCCTGGCTTCTTCACCTCCCCACTAAAACAACAGGGGTTCCTCCGGAATTGCCTAATCCCATCCCGGTCCAACCCCAATCCATCCCTATATAGCATTGAGGCCTCAACATTGTCAATAATATCACAAGTGATATCCCCTGCCTCACCGTCCGACTCCCAAATGCATATTCTTGGAAAAGACCTCTCAGTCATCCCACCATCCACGGACGATCTCTTCTTCCCTGCACTACCACCTATCGCTATGTTTACACTCTCTTCTCCCACCGTCATCAGTGGCGCTGATAACTTCTGACTAAAGTACCCCTTCAAAGCCCCCTCATTTCCATTCCCATTCCCGTTCACCCCATTGGACTTATTGCTATCGTGGGCAGGGTAAAAAGTACCATTCAAGATTTGATTACTATGAGAATTTTTGCAAGAGTCCTTTGACCAGCAGCCAATGTAGCAGCTACCATCAGGCCAAGTGAATACACCATCACCCTTGGGAACCCCATTCTCCCAATTCCCATCATATCTATTCCCATTGTTCCAAACCAAAACACCCCTACCATTAATCATCCCATTCTTCCACTCCCCTTTATACTCATTCCCATTCTTCCATACATATCTTCCTTGCCCTTCCTGCAAATTCTTCTTCCAGTGTCCTTCGTAGTAATCCCCATTACTGTAATGCTTCACTCCATAACCGTGCTTCCGGTCCGCCGACCACGACCCCCTGTACATATCTCCATCAGATCCAATGAAAGTGCCCGAGCCCTCCATCCGACCCGACTTGAAATCGCCTTCAAAAGTCGCACCCGATGGCCACGAAAATTTCCCCTTACCAGAGGCTTTCCCCCTTCTCCAATCACCTTCGTACATACACCCATCTTTCCACAAATACTTACCGGATCCATGAGGCGTATTGTTTGCAAAAGTCCCAATATACAGATCCCCATTAGGAAGGTGCTTCTCGATCATATCAGCTGCATTTCCTGAGGGTGAAACAGACGTCGGGCTGACTCTACGGCATACCGCTTGAGATTTGCTTCTGGGTATGATTATAACTGATTTTGGTGTAGTGGCGGTAATAGTATTGGGTGGCATCTCTAATTTCTCTTCATTTACTTCCTGCTCTAATTTTTTCTTATCTTTCTCTTCAAGCGATGCTGGTCTAATGAACAACAAAGGGTCGGGCATATTTTCTTGAAGGAAAAAACAGAAAAAATCTATCTTTATCTGGGTATAATTAACTTTTTCTGGGACTGTTAGCTACAGCCTTAAATGTTGATAAACGGCCAAGAAATACAGGTTCTTTAGCATTTTCTGGCCAATTTTTTGGTGGGTTCTAGGTGGGAATCCTAACAGACGGAAGAGTAGAGGGCAGGTTTCTAGAGAGAGAAACAAGAAACTGAAGAAGCAAGAGGAAAAGGCAAAAAGATGATAAAATGTAAACGAATGAACGAATCAGTGCGTGATTATGTGAGAGAGAGTGGTGAAATTGGGAGTATTGAGCCAGCTTTGCATTTTCACTGTTTAAGCTGTACCATTGCCGAATGTTGGTTCACCTATACATACAATTATACGTAAAACAGCGTAAGTAACTAACTGTAAGTATATATACTGATACTCCATCATTTCTTATATAAGGACGAATATGCCCTTGGGATTTGATAAAATTTACGTAAGAAACAGTAACCTACGTATTAGTTACTCCGGTTTCATCGTGACGTAGTGGAATTGCCTAGGAAAGAAGGTAGTGGAAATGTATGGATAATTGCACAATTGGTCCTCAACTTATTATCAGGGTATTATATTAACCCATGGGCTTTAAAAGAGAAGCATTTTAGTCCCAACCTTTCATGATTATCCCCAATGACAAAAATTATCAACAATTTGTTAAATTTTCATATGCCCGAGAAAAAAAAGGAAAAGTCTAAACTAAGTTGTATAGAAAAATGTTGCTTGACGATTTAGCACTGGTTTGCATAAGTTCTTATATGGAAATTGATTCTGCAACTATTTTATGCATTAAATATTTTTTTTCGCGACCCTCGTGAAATATAGATTCTCTTAAAAATTATGGGCATTGTTCAGTTGTAAAACAGAATCTAGTTTGTAAAATTAGGTATGAAGAACACAATTTTGGACAATTGTGTAATTATAATGAAGGTTGAAGACCAAATTTTAACTTTGAAAAGATTGAGAACCAATTGGCTAAAAGAGGAGTAACATGTCGTAATTTCTCCAAGGGCGTAGATGGTCTTTCATGAGTTACAAAAGTACCCTTTATTATGTTCAATTACAAAATTGCCATTCATGGTGATTTTGTTTCTATAGGGTGGTCCACGTCTAGTCTAGGTGAACCATCCAATGTTTGACGATTCTTCGATACCTTATTCAGCTTTGGTATCTACGGCCTTAAATTTTGGATGGATTAATAATTCTAATTATGGTAATGATTAATAATTTCCTTAATCTAATTTCCTTAATTAAAGAATCTATATTAAATCTGTTTATGATTAGCATAATTAATTAATGGGTTTGGCTAGAGCATATGTGGGATTTGTGTAGTAATTTGGAATTCATGTATAATGATATAGGTTATGAGTTCCGTATTGAGTGAGCCGTAAGATTACGATAATGAAATCGAATCCATATGATACCAAGCGGCACAAATTTTGTAAAGTGACACTCGTAATTTACAAAGCAATTCTAATTAACATCCATTCAACTAGCTTGCATCGGGGTCCCACATTGACACTAATGAAAGATGAGAGCTGTATGACTTGGAAAGTTTGTCAAAGGTCTCAAGGTCATTGAGGTGAGTATCCGATCGTAAATTTTAGAGCCCCACACACAAACTGACCCGAACATGCACGATTATAAAAAAAAAGTTTGCCAAAGGACCAAATGCAACCAAGAAAAAATTAAAAAAAAATAATGATATTTAACATTACTGATATTATAACACTAGTTTAAGTGGTGTAATGTGATAGGTTCAATGAAAGGTAGAATTAAGTTACTCATTTTATTGTATTTCTCATTTAATTTCACATTAATACCATTTATATTGATACTTTAATACTAATGATGCTAAATATGCATTACTAAAAAAAAAATCTTTACGTCTAAGCATTGGAAATGGTGGTGCATAATGAATTGTAAAGGTGTTACAGAACGTAGGTTAACTTCGTGTAGGCCCACAATGTTTACCAGTAAACTAGTGGGCTGTCCCTTCGGCTCCAATGATCGTAATCCATAATTGGAATTTTGAACAAGAGTCTAGTATGTGAGTAATGGTCACTTTCATCTCTAGTCAACAATGTGATCGAATGAAGAGCACGTTAACGAGCTTAAACAATACTGTACATGACAATAATAAATAATTTTTTAATTTTCTTTATTTGTTAATTATATATCCAATGTTATCCAGGCTGAAATATTGAACATACCGAAAGACCCTACGTTAAAAGGAATTGTCGGGTTGGTAAAAGTGACAATAGTGTATCGAACGACAGAGAGAATTTTAACATTCTGTTTTTATGACTATGTCTAATATCATCCACTCGACACATTAAAAATTTCGTATAATGTCTCTGTCAGAAGTGTTTTCCGAGTCGGTAAAGTTTAGCTTGGCAATTTAGGTCCTGTTTGGTCCACATTTTTTTTCATTTTTCTATTCATTTTCAACTACACATTATTCAATAAAATAATATTTTTCATCACATCAATAATTTTTCCTTCTTTTTCAACCACATATTCTTCATCACATCAACAGTAAAAATGCATTCTTACCTTCAAAATGTGCGCCAAACGGGGGCTTAGTCCAAAAGTAATTGGAAATTATGGCTTTGGTAAAGTTTGGCTTGGCCATTTAATCTAAAACTAATTGGAAATTATGGCTTAATATTTTGTCATCATTTTCTCTTAATGGCCATTTCCCTATTAAAATATAATTTCTTCTTTATTTTGTAAATCCTCTCTAGTCAAAGAAGTTGAGCCCCAACTCCAAGCATCATTCTTTAAAATTTATTTTTTTCTCAAACCATTTTTAATATACATATTCTTCAAATAAAATAATTTTATACTTAACTTCAAAATCTTTTCTTAATTTTTAACTACAAATTATTTTAAATAATTATTTTTTATAAAATGTATTCTCAAACATGGCTTAGTTGTTGTTGTTGCACCACAGCCAAAATTGACTTCCCAATTGTAAGAAATTATTATAAAATGGCAATGGCAATTAATTATCCTTAACCCTAATTTTTTATTTTTTTTTTCCCTATTGAACAACCCTCTTTTTGAACGTATAAACATTCATAACTCCCAAAATCATAAGAATAAGATAGAGTATGAAATGTGGGGTCTTTTTCCCCTTTTCCATAAAAATGGAAATGAATTAAAGATGAAAGATAATTGGTCTATGAAACAATTTGATCCCAGTGGTTGGCTAACCAATCTATTGGATTCCAGCTAAAAGTATTGAATGAAAGGAGTAAATAGGGATGCAGATAAGCGAGAGTAGTGAGTGATTGTCTGCTTCGTATTTGGTAAGTTGATTCGGACTTGATTTAGATCCCGTTTGTCTTTCATTATTCTAAAACATTGTTTACTGCAGTAAGATTCTTCACTACACATTCACCCAATAAAATATTATACATAAAAATTAATAACGTTACTTTAAATTTCAACCACACATTCTCAAAAAAATATTATTTATTACTCAATTTCTTCTACAATAATGGGAGACAAGCACACACCTAGCCCTTGTTTGGTCATTGGTGTACATTTTTTGGACAAGAATACATTTTTTTTTATGTGATGGGGAATATGTGGTAGAAGAAAAATGAAAAACTATTGATATGATGAAAAATATTATTTTATTGAAGAATGTGTTGCTGAAAATGAGTAGAAAAATGTGAATAAAAGAATAATGTGGCTTAAATAGGGACTTAATATGATTCAAGATGAGAAATTTTTTTGTAAAATTTATTAATTATTCAAACTAAAGTCCATTTGTATAGCATATGATCAATAATAATATACTTAGAGTCCGTTTGACAGAGTTTTTACTTTCTGTAGAAGAGATTTTCGAGGAATCTATCTTGGGCCATCTTCCTCGAGCCAGACAAAATACTTTTATAAAATTATTCAAACATGTTTAAAAACAGTTTTTGACTGTTTAAAAATCATACTTAATGGGCCCATTTTATCATTCAAACATTTTTACATAAAACAAACGAACTTTCAATTAAAATACCATTTGAGTTTATGTGTGGTTCTATCGTATGCGCCTAAACACAATAGGGGGGTTTGGTACTAACTCTAACATGTTTATAGATAAACTTGTGGAGTACAAGGAGAGGACATTTTATAGATTAAACAAATCACTTCGACTAATGCATACATTCTTAATTTCGCTTAAATGAAAACCAAAATCTTCGTTTTCAATATAATTTATCGTGTCGAGTTAGTGACACAATGTAAATTATCTTTATCTAAAATTTGTGGACGAAAAAATGGTCAAGTATTAATACAAGCCAGCCATTAGGCCTCTCCTAGACTAGACTTGTCCATTCCCATTTATTCTCGATGCCCACATTAAAATTAATGTGTCCAGCTATTTGGTAAAATTATTAATTTATTCCAACAACCCATTTATAAAATATTTACAATTTATATTTTCCATTTATAATCCATAAAAATAAAATAAAAGAGCAATAAATCCCACATTCTATAGAATTAAACAAATTTAATATTGTCTATTCTTTTTAATAAATAAAAAATTCTTATTTATTATATTGTATAGTTATATTTAATACGATAAATAATCTAACGTTCAAGTCAACTAGTTAGGCCCATCGAACATGCACTAATGTTTTTAAATAAAAATAAATAAATAAACAAAAATTGAAATAATATTTTTCTCTTTTCCAAAGACTGCAATTTGTTTGTAAATCAAAGAAACAGGGCCAAACAGAAGCTTTTAACAGTTGGATTTCCAGCTGGCTGATGGTTCCATGTCGTCAACATGGGCCCACTTATGATATGCTGAATCGGTGCCACCTGTCCTCTTCCGGCCAGTTCCATTACAAACTACTCCACGTGGCACTGCTTTTTCCTTTTTTCTTCTACGCAAAATCAGCGTTCTAAAAGGCACGCCTAAACTCGATGCGTGATGTAAACGTCAAAGT